TATATATATATATATATATATATATATATATATATATATATATATATGATGCGTGTTAATTTGTGTCTCATTAACTCTTATCTGTCTTTAGTCACCTGTTTTTGTAGGAAATATGTGTGTTTTATGTGTTGTGCAGTTCTTTATTATATTTTCCTTTTATATATGTTGCTCCAGCCTTGCCTCTTTGAATCGATTGTATCTCAAACCTAGTCATGAGTAAAAAGTCATTATTGGACCATTTTTCATTTTTAGATTATTTTATTTGATTTTATTTTTTGTACGTAACAACAGTCAGTATCTGAGTATATTTGTATCCATTTGAATGTGAAGAAAGTTGCTAATTTTTAACTTTGTTTGCAAAGTTTAAATCAGCTCTATTTTTCAGCGTGTGCTTGGCTTCATTGTGCTTTTTTCCATCATCAGCATTTTGTTTTGCACTCAACTATTTTGTCTTCAGAGAATGAATCGATTCTCACTATGCCTAATAATTAATAACATGTGCTTCTGTTCCATCTCCAGAAGAGAAGTACTCAGTGATTTATCCGTACTCGGCCAGGGATCAGGATGAGATTGACCTGGAGAGAGGCATGGTTGTCGAGGTCATTCAAAAGAATTTGGAAGGCTGGTGGAAGATCAGGTACTGAAAACTGCAGACATCCTTTAAGTTAATGTCAAACCTGTCAAAGTATCTATGACAAAATACTTTGACTTGTAAACAAAAGTTTGTTAACTTATCTTTATCTATATTTAATTCCAGGGACATTTGTAAATGATAAAATGATATCCCCAAAGCCATTGTAAATTCAAAAGGTTGACACTCTTAACACAATAACCTGTGGCAAAAAATAGATAAAAATGAAAGTTGAGACAACTATAAACAAATATGTCGATATGAATAACATTTAGTAAGTAAATCTGGAGTAAATCTTGTCCTTGCCTGCCTGTTTGATTTTAATTTCTACTGACTTTGTAAACTTGAAAGTAACGTTTTAATTGCCCCTGTTGAACCCGACCTAAAAGTCTCCCATAATTTAGAAGAGAAACAATGATGCACAAGTAACAGAGAAAATAAAGAGAGGTTCACCGACATGCCACAAATGACTGCTAGAAAATTGAGAATTTAAGTCAGATTGCCAAACGAAGATTCCTGTCATTTTTGCACAGCTGTCGTACTCAATCTGTCAACTGTACATGGAACAGAAACAGCATTTGGCTCTGAAGTCTGTTGCTTTTATAGTGCTTTTTCCCACCCAAAAAAGGAAAAAAATACTTTATCCACTGTTGCAGAAGCATTGGAAACATACATGCCCGAAAAAAGACACCTTCTGCTTTCCTCAGTGCTTGTAGAATTCCCCTCCAATGGCATTTCTTGTGGGAAAAAAATGAATATCTTTGACCTTTTCTTTTAATTAAAACTTAATAGTTCCACTTTAAATGCTAATACTTTCAAATACCGAAGTGCATAGATTAAAGATACTTTACCTGCTGCAGGCTGATGGTGAAGACTGCCCAGTACGGTGGTTTTTCTTTTTTTATTAAGGGTGTGAATGTGTTTCCCAGCTAAAGCCGACGTTCATTTCTGCTCCTTGCAGGTACCAGGGCCGTGAGGGCTGGGCCCCTGCCTCCTACCTGAAGAAGTGTGATATTCAGAGCCAGAGGCAGTCAGCGGGCGCCGCCGCTCATGCCAGTACAAACGACCTGGAAGGGTTCTCCAAACAGAACCAGCAAAACAACGCTGCAAAAGAGAACAGAGACAACAGCCAAAAGGAAAACAGACTCTCCCTTTTCTCTGAGAACAACAAAAGTAGTAAGTGATGTTTCACACAGCTTGGAATTACTGTCCTTAAGCCAGTTATGTCTACCTTAAGGAAAAAAATCTGAAAATGAAAACCTAATTTTGTTTTAAACATTGGCTGTATATTTGTTTTATTTCTTTTTTTAATTGATTTATTGAAAGACTGAGAACTCGTCTTCTCCTTTTTGCAGAAGTGGGATTGAGACACAGACCTCCTCCACGCAGAGATCTTACCATTGTAAGAACGGGACACCGTCCTGCCCGTTGATTTGAATTTCAAAAGATGACGTTTTTAATCAAGCCTGACGTTTATGCATCTTTTAATATTGTTTTTTTGTTCACATCCCGCAGCCACGTGGGTCCAACCTACCCAAGCCCCCCGTTCCTCCTCAGGTGGAGGAGGAGTTCTACACCATAGCCGACTTTCAGACTACCATCCCCGATGGCATTAGCTTCCAAGCTGGACTTAAAGTTGAGGTGAGACATTTAGAAAAACAACTTTTTCATTTTTCTTTTTCATTTGACCTTTTAACTAGGGTGTTTATATCCATGTGGGAGATTTAAGAGTTTTATTAATATCCCTTTTTACCCTCATAGGTGATTGACAAGAATTCAAGTGGTTGGTGGTACATTCAGATCGATGACAAAGAGGGCTGGGCCCCTGCGACATATATTGACAAGTACAAGAAGACCAGCAATGCCCTGCGACCCAACTTCCTTGCTCCACTCCCCAATGAGATGGAGAAGCTGAGGCTGGAGGACGGTGGCTCCTCAAATGCTTCAGGCACAGACGACACCTGGTCCAAGCCCTTACCGGACGAGCCGACCACAGCATCCGAGTCTTCTGCCCGGCCTAAACTTAGAGACTGGAAGTCCAATCCCGGCAGGGTACCTCCTGCCTTCTCTGGGCCTCTGCCACCAGCTCCAGCAGCCCCTCCCGTCGAGGAGAAACCAGCTCTACCACCTCGAAGGGAGTCCATTAATAAGAGCTTCGAACTGGAGGTTGCGGAAAAACCAAAATCGGATCATTCCAAGCCGTTGCCTCCAAAACCCCCCGCCCCCGGGGTCATCATGCCCCTCGTCACCCCCAAAACGGCCCCGTTCAAACCCGACAAACCACCAGCAGATGCCAAGAAAGACGACAAGAGCAAAGCTCTTCATCTTCGGAACGAAATGGGTATCGAATGCGGCCACAAAGTGTCCGCCAAAGAGGTGAAGAAGTTCAATCTGAAGCCTGTGCCCAAACAGCCGCCGAAGCCAAAGCCGGAGGCGCAGGTGGAGAAACCGGAGGCGGTTGGTCCAGCGGTGCTCATGAAACCCAAACCGGTGATCAGACCTAAACCCGTGCCTACAGCAAAGCCCGACCCCCCGGCAGAGAACAAAGTGGACATCACCAACCTGAGAAGCAAGTTGAGGCCATCAAAACCCACCGATCTTGGTTCTGCGTCAGGTGAGACGAACCATCAGAACGGTGCTTCGGGGGGAGGAAGTAGTTCCCACCCGAGTTCCCCGCCTGGTTCTCCCCCGAGCCATGTCCCTTTTCTTAACAACGGAAAGTGCACCGATGAGCCCAAACACCCATCGAAACACACAAATGGTGTTAAACTAGAGGGCTCGCCCTCCCTTTCAAAACCAGCAGTGCCCCCCCACAAGGATCCCCCCCAGAGACCTCCTGCCATGGCTCCGAGGAGACCTCCTCCTCCAAAGAAAACCGACCCGTCGAGCCCAACCGAACACAAGCCTCCGGCCCTAAAGGAGCCCCAGGATACCCCAAAGCCCGGACCACCCCAGCTCAGCAGACCCCCTCCCCCGAAACCCAAAAGCTTTGCCCTGCCACCTCCAAGCAAAGAGAAAGAAGAGCCAAAGGTGAATAAAGTCACAATTCCTCCAAAACCCCAAATAAAGAGCGAGAAGCCCGGGCCTCCGAAAGATAAACTCCCGCCATTGCTCAAGGAAGCGAGTAAGGACGAGCTTTATCTAGCTGTGGCAGACTTTGAGGGAGATGATCAAACCTCCAGCTTCAAGGTGGGTACGGTCTTCGAGGTTTTGGAGAAAAACACCAGCGGCTGGTGGTTCTGTAAAAATGTAGTAGGAGACTCGGAGGGCTGGATACCCTCCAATTACCTGAGCAAGAAACCTTAGGTAGCAAATCGGTTTTAGAGTATAACCATGTAGGAGAACGAGTAGAGAATTAAATGAACAAAACACTGATAGTTTAACGCTATTTTAGTTTTGTTTTTATTTATAGGTACCTTTTTTTATTATATATATATTCCCTCTTTTCTTTTTTTTATATTCATAAGAATGTTGTACCAACCACCAGAGGCAGCAATGACCTCGTTGGGGGTTTTGTAATGTTTACTCATTGGTTGTTGTTTTTTTTTTCTTGCTTTTATATGACTTCTTACTTGCTTTTGTATCCATTTTGCCATTACTCAGGCTAGATACTTGAAGAGCAGTAAATGTATCACCCATGCCTTTCTATATGGTGCCTCAATAGTATATGCAAAGTGCTTCAGTGCTTATTAAACTGTATGCAGCCGTAGACTTAGTCCTCATTTAAACGATTTGTCTGGAGATCAAAAATCATCGTCGCAAAGGTAGATGTTCAAATTTTGCCGGTGGCTCTCTTGTTAAAATTCATCAGCTTTATTTTAAAGACCCATTAGCAGTTACTTTTAGATACATCTTTGCCAAGTAGACATGCATATTAGTTTACAGTAACTGTGCTTTTTTTCTTTTTTTTTTCTAAATGGACCACATAATCAATGTTGCAGCAATTTGTAACACTTGCACTTTCACTGAGTTCTGGTGAGGTATAGTTTAAAATTTTGCACACCCTTACTGCCTTTTTTTTATTTGCCCAGTTTTTCTTATTACCCTCACTGATATAATATAGCTTTCTCACTCCTTCATATGGAAAGACAACAAGGAGGAAAAGAGGAAGCCCTGCGTCACAGGATTTGAACATAATTGTGGTATCTCAAATCTGGAATTGAGTTTGCGAAATGTGAATTGCAGGGCAAATCTGCATGTCAGACCATAAGAATAGAGGCTTTACATTGGTTTGTGCAATGACTTACAGTATTCTGAGTGTACTGGCTGTTAACCGAAGAGTGGTGCTTGTTTAACAAATTGACCATTGTATAAAAAATGTTGTTTTACATCTCAGCTTGACTGGTCTCAAGCTTGTTCACTATAGAACAAATTATTTTTATTGTACAGTAATAAGAGTCATATCCTAACTGTTTCCTTTGGTTCATCCAGTGATGTTTTTTTCTTTTTTTTCCCTGTGACTTTAAGTCGGATGTTTGAAAAAGGAATTTGTTTTTAAATGTCAAGTGAAATTTAAAGTGCATTTTCGAACATTCTGTTACACAATCGACCAATTGTGTCGCATCTTTGTCTCACAATTATCTGAGTTTAGGAAAAGTCTGCCGACAAGATGTAACACAGATTCTGCTCTGCCTCTGGTCGCTTTGTAACCCACTGTCCACCAGCTCCATTTTACAAAGTATTCTGCCAGCTAGAAAACTATTACAACTATTTCAATGGCATCTTTAATAATAAAAGACTAGGGGGCACTGCAAGACAAATAGACAGATGTGTTAATGGTGTCATAAGTTCAGTATTGTGATTGATTTTACTTTTTTCCTTTGTATACTTATTACAGCCTGTTCTTGCTTTCAAGTCAATAAAAATAATTCAGATGTTCCTTCTTAAAGTCTCATACGGTTTCTAAATCTCCCTTTGCCACAGCTCATTTGTTTTTTTTCTCCCAAAAGCCCTTCTCAAACCTTTAAATGTCATTATCTTTGTTTGGGTGGTCCTGCATCTCTTAACTGCTCGTCTGGTTCTGTTCCAAAGAGACCAGTAATCACTGCGACACATCTCTACAAATAGCAAGCATGATGGACAATTGGTTCTGTTATATAATAATCAGTTATCTGAAAAGATATGACTTCCACCGATTGAGTGATTCAGGCTATGGTTTCACCCTTTTTCCATTCAATTAAATATTCTAGTATAAAGTGTCAAATCACAACAGCAGTTATCTCACAGCACTTTCCAAACAGAGCAGGTCAGACCTTACTCTGAAGTTAATTACAGAAGCCCAACAATTCCCACGCAAGAGCAAGCACTAGGCGACACAAGGACGGAAAAAAAACAGTACAAGAAAAGATCTTCTGTCCTTACAACATGATGCTCTAGTACATCTATGAGACGGGGAAAAGGCAAAAGAAATAAATATAACCACAATTAGGTCATTAGAAAATCTGCATGTTTATTTTGATCTATATACATCAGTGGTTCCTTCTGATACAGTTTCATTCATACTCACAATCCCTCCACACAAATAAAGTTATGTAAACTGAGGCAGGGGAAGGCATAGATGAAGCCATTAAACACAACAAAAAAATAGGTTTTCACAATTAATTTAAATAATTCAGAGAGCCATTAGGCTGTACCTGATTCAGTGTCAATCTGATGGCCAAACTGCTCACAATTTCTTTTTTTTTTTTTCTCCACTCAACAAAGGCAACAGATTGAACGTAATAAGGCATCATACAGCAGACTGAAAGGTTGCACCCCTTTAAGAAGATGAAGAGTTTCTTCCTAAAATCACACCATCAGCAAGTAAGCCACCGATTTGCTTATTAACTTATGAATGTCTTTAAACAAATTATTTCTAAAAAGCAATTCGATATTTATTTGGAGTTTAACACTTCATATTATCCCTCTCAGTGCAAAGGAAGGCAAACTTTTAAGAAAAATAAACTTCTTTAGGCTTAGCAGAGACATACATAGAATATTGCACATAGGTTAGCAGGCAGCTCTCTCACTGCACTTGGTATAATAATTGTACAATTAACAGGTTTAAGTCCCCTAAACAACAAAAAAAACAAAACACAAAAACCAGACTATACTTTGGCTTTGTCAGTTCCCATCCAGTGTGACTGATTTTACAGTAAAAATACAACAGAAAAGGATATATTGCATTCCCTTGTTTGATAAACATCTAATTCCTGAATAAGTATCGACAGAAATTGGTATTCGTTTTAATCATTTTTGATTCAGCTTCACCCCCCACATACAAAGAAAAATGAAAAAGCCCATCCTTCGTTTAATGGATGTCTCTGGAAGAAATAAAAATGTAAAATGTACACAGTGTGTTTTTTTTGTTTTTCTTTCATTCGTATAGACAATTACCACTCAACATGAGATTTGTATCATAGAAGCCCATAGAACTAATTAGGAAGACAATGCTAGTAATTCAAAGTTAACAAAAAATAGTCCCAGGATAACCAGTACTCTTAGCATTTCTTTTTGTTTTTCAAAAGCTGAGATTTTTGGGGGTAACGCTTCCCCACAATTAAAGCAGATGATTTGGTATCTTCAGTTCCATTTTAAAAGAAACAGCCATTGATGGGCAAGAAGAAGACCGAATTTAAAAAAAAAAAAAAAAAAATGGGTGAAGCAAGTTCGTACATCAAGAATAACCATCAAATACGAGTTAAAACGCAAGTTAAAACATAAATACTCAAATAAAAGTGGATGGATATATATATGCTGCTATTACTGGTAAGGCAAGTGTAAAACTGAGGCAGCAGGCAAACTGGAACTTTGTGCAACGTCACGGCGGGGGGGGGGCTCATGTGGTGGAGGAGTCTTGGTAAGGCACAAACTTGGAGAGTTTATGAGGAGAGCTGGGGTTCGGGCACTCGGAAATCTCACTCATCCTGAAGAACGCTTCCTGGTCTCTCTTTTTCATTTCCAGCTCGTCTTCGAGGGCCTAGGCGGGTGCAGATCAAACTGTGTGTAAGATCACCGGCTGTGTTTTTGTAAATGCCTTCAACAGTGTGTGTGGAGTCTGCAAAGCAATCGAACTGCTACATTCTTTTCTTATGAGAACCACATCATTGACATATGCTGGATCCTTGTCACTGCAAATCAAATAATGCACTTAATAGAAGGGTAATTATCAGCCATTTTCTCTGAAAGGGCATTCCTTTGACATCTGGAAAACTGCTGGATGGGATGTTAATGCTAAATAAGGAAAGGTTAACACCACCATAAAGCTTCTAAATCATTTTAGTCTAGACTTGTCATTTTGTGAAGAGGATTCACAAACATGTTAAAGAGCCAGTGTGACACATTTATTGTGAATTATTAGCAGAAGTGCAATCCAGAAATGCGACAAATTTGTCAAGCAGGATTTTTACCAATAACTGTGCGTGCATGCTTGATTACATTAAGCTATTTTATGGCTCTTAGAGCTGCTTGTAGACATTCTCAATAACATTAGACAACTTCTTGTGTCAAAAAGAGTATCCACTGTCTCCATCGGTCGACTAAAATGTTTCAGTTTGAGCGGTCGAGTTCATTATCGGTCGCCTGATTCATATCCACAATTTCAGAAACGAACGGGCCAGTCGTTTTGTGTGTACAAAATATCTTTAGATAGCACATGTTGCTGCAGGAAATGAGTACCTTCTTCCTGGGCTTCAGCTGATCCCTCCACTCCTTCACCATCTGATTGTGTTGCTCATCCAGATACTTCAGCCTCTGAGTCTCGTTCTCAACCAGCAGGTGGCACTTTTCGTTCTGAAGCACCGGAAACACAACTCCGTCAACAACTGTGGACTGACTTCTTATAGCTAAAGAGAACCGCCGGGCTCCTCACTGACCTGCAGCTGCTGCAGCTCCCTGATGTTGCTCTCGCACTGACCGATCATCTCCCTCATCTGGTTCTCGTGCTTCTGCTGCTGATGCTGCCTCTCCGCCTTCTGCCGCTTCTCCTCCTGCAGAGAAAACTAAAAAGAGCCGCGCGGGAAGTCAGCGACCGGATCTTCGGTGGCCATTGAATTGGGCCGGCCGAGCCACTGACCTGCTTGATCTTCTCACGGTACTCCGCGGTGCTGCCGGTGGAATTGATGCGGAGGCTCTTCTTGAACATGGCCATGCGGGTCTTGGCCTCGCTGCGCTGGATCTTGGGCAGCCGGCTCTTCTCCTGTTGCTGCCGGGCCTTCAGGATTTCGATCATCCGCTGGTTGTAGCACTGCATCTGTTCCTGCTCCTGTAGACAGGGAGTAAAAAAAAATGAATGCATTCAACAGTCTATGCTGACACATAAACGTATCATTTACGATGTATCAAAGAGTAAATACTATCGGTGCACAGGGGTGCTTACCTTCTCATGTTTCTTGAGGAGTTGATGCCTCTGGAGGAAGTATTGGTCTTTCAACTGCTGCTTTAACAGTTGGTGTCTCTCGTAAAGGTACTTCTCCTCCATGTCCCATATAACGCCCTCCCGGTCTATTCACAGTGACAGAAGAGAATGCGTGAGCACAGTCTGGGCGTAACCTCCCAGTAAAGCTGGGGATGGGGCTAACATCAATGGGAAATCAAGTCCATTGGCTCGAGGATGCCGCACCTCTGATAAGTTTGTGCTTCTTGTTGAGGCACTGCCTCTCAGTCTCCGCGATCTCCCTCTTGTTGTTAGTGATGATCTGCATCAGCGTCGTGTCCAGTTGTTGCTTTTGACCCGCTAGGAATCTCTCCTCCTAAAACCCCGGCAAAGAGCAAGTTCAGGATGGAAGCGAGTGGATGGAAAACATTCAAAGAAAAGCTGAAAAAGAAAGCATTGGGCTCCTCTGGACTGAGTTCAGTCTGCATGAAAAGGCTGATCAGTATACTCGAGCGCACGCCGAGGGGCCAACATACCTCTCTTATCTTAATTTCTTGGAAAGTAGTCATACTCTGTCTCAGCGATTCTTTCCGCTGACTTCTGGGCAACTTGTCAACTGAATGTTTCACCTGAAGAGGCCCCATTTAGGATCAGAAAAAAAGCGAGGTGCGAGAGGTCAGTTCGTGACTCTTGGGTTCAAATGAAATGCTAATGCAACAAGCGTCATTTCAGACGGATCGTTTAAAAGGTACCTCCTTCTTCTTCTGTTTTATCTGATCCTGGAACTTGCGGTACTCGCGCTCCTGCTCAGCTTTGATGCGTTTGGTCTCATCCCTCAGTTTGACATTGTGGTCCGTCTCCATTTTCTCAATAGTTTGCTTCTGGTTCTTCTCCAGGTTCTCCAGCTCTGCGTCATAATGTTTCTTCTTGGTCTGGGACACACCGAAATCGAAACAAAAACACTGCGGTTCGGCATTTTGGTTGTAAACATCCACAGGGCTGAGTTAATGGAGCAGTCACACAGTTGGGCATGTGACAGCTGGGTTGCTGTACGTGTTGCAGGGTGTGTCTTATGGAGGCATCAACTCACATTCATGTCCTGGTCGAAGCGTCTCTGCATTTGTTCCCTCTGCTGTTCCAGTTTGGCATTCAGAGCAGTCTGGGCACGCTGCTCCTCCTTCTGTAGCAAACGGAGGTCACGCAGCTCTTGCCGTCTGAACACACACACACACACACACACACACAATGTAGGTTACATATTTATATCAGCCTCCTATAACTTCCTATTGACACATAACACAATTATAAATAAACAAGAATGATTTTTTCCTAACTATTTATCTCACTCGTACAAAAATATGTTTTTCTTGCAATCATGGGCACACAGTCATGTTTTTACCACTAGATGGCAACAATAGAACATTTTGTTTTAGACTAAATGCTCAGAGAGAAAAGTTTGCAACAGAATGACAGCAATGACACAGTGTTTGTTTTTCCTTTAACAGTTAGGTTATTTGTACTTTACTCAAGAAACATAAGCCCACAAGGGTCCTTTAACAAGTTAGAGGTCTAAAAAAAACATTTTTAAAAGAAACATCCTAAAGGTAATTTTTTACAATGCATTCTGAAAACAACCCGCTTAGAATGTAACAGATCAAACTGTTTTGGTTCTCAAATAAATGAAAAACTTTCAGTCAAGAAACCAAAAGCACTTTAGTTAAACTGTCCATGTAGATGTTGAGTACCAAATATAAAGATGTTATTTGATAAATGTTAACATTGATTGACATACCTCAGGAATCTCATCTCCTCATCTTTCTTCTCATCATCTCGGATGATCTTGGAGGTGGTCACACTGACCTCCACGCCGTCGATGACAAACTTCCTGGTTCGCTTTAGAGTCTTATTGGAAAAGCTCTGACAAGCAAACAGAGTTCAAACTTAGACAGAACCTCCACAGTGTAAACCTAAAAGCAGTACCACACACTGCAATCGGAAACATCAGTAGAAGAAGAATGATCACTGATACAACATACAAAAGTCCCAAAAAACTCATATGGTTTTAACCATCTCAGTATCTTTACTTACAAGAGCTCTTGCAATTAGGTTAAATATTTTTTCTAGTGCTAAAATTTGAATGAACAAAGTTGTAAGACCATGATTGGAGAGCAAATTATACTGTATCTGTGTTGGATTTTGTGTTATGTTTAAGTATATCAAAGATATTTTAAAAGACCTGCAGAAATTGTCAGCTTGGGAAAACTGGTTGTCTCCTCTTTTAAAGTTCTCTAAATTCATTCAATGTGTTCTTTTAAATTTTGATCAAAGAAACAGCTTTGTGTGTACATGTGTTGATAACCTTCTGCTAGATGCCCCATCTGTTAACACCATGGAGGAAACATCTAATAAAAGCACAAAGCCGTAAACGTGTGTCCTGGTTCATTCTGCTTGTCCAAATTTTTGTCATAAAAAATTGACGAATCAAAATGGATAAGCGGGGATTTCTGATTATGCACCACTGGACAACAAATGTCTTTCTTAACTTAACCTACATGAGGATTTATGAGAGGATCATAGCACAAATCTCTCCTTTGCAATAAAAGTCTAACGAGTCAGTGAGAGTGGGCAGATTTACTCTCTCTAAAGAGAAAAGAGTTGTCATGGCAAACAAGGCTTGTTTTGTCAGGTTGTAATGCGGCAGTGTCGTCAATCTAAGTAAGCCCTCCTAGATTATATTTGCAAAAATGATATGGCAGAGTTTACTCAGCAAACACTGGCCCACTGACATCATTTCCTGGCTTCATAAATGGTTTACATACAGTGCGAGGAGTGAAAAAAACCCAATGAGAAACAGAATAAGTGACTCCCTCGACCATGCAGAGATGGTTAGCGAGGGTTCTTCTCCACTCCCAGCTGAGCAAACTTCCTGTGAGGCTTCTGTCACCGGTGACGGCTGCTAGATGCTACTTTTTCCACCGGCTGTGGCCTCTTTATCCTGACCGATACCATTAAAATGGCCCCTATGTTTTTCAGCACACACTAGAATCATTGCTGACCCTTTTTCTTTTTGGGTCTGAAGTCGTTAGGGACTCCATATCTCTCAATTCATATCATACCATATCATATCATATCATATCATATCAGGTGTGCAGCTGTATTCACGTGCACAAGTTCGGCTCTGAAGCCCTTGATCCCACCCGGGTTTACGCCAAAGACAAAAGGTTGCCCGGCAGCGTAATCCCTTCTGGAAAAACTTGACTTGCCGCAAATGGACATGACTCCGTGAAAAGTCAATAGGATTTCAATCAGGGTTTGCTAGATAGCCTCCAGAAGCAACTGGGCGACAATGGGCTCCATAGAAGCCTCCATTCACAATAATGAATGCTGGACTGTACCCAGACAAAGGGCTCCATTGGTCCCCTTTGAATGGAACGTGTTGCGTATTTGGCTTCAACTCCAACTTCTCGCTTCCCTCCCTTGTTACTGTAGTCAGGGACAAATAGTTAAGCATAGTCCAGACAAACCCTCTTCTTCAATTTCAAAAGAGACGTACCCTATTTTTGACAAACACATTATCGAGTGGGAAATATGGAAACTGTTGTTTAGACTTGTTTTGAAAGGCCTTTAGAGCTCTCTGGGACTTCTCCCTTAAAGTGGAATATGTGGTGTAAGTCATAATGGGAGACAGGCAGTCCTCTGTGTCGGGCAGTTAACGCCCACACCCCAAAACACAACATAGGGCACTTTCAGTTCCTCGATGGGTGCTGGAAATCACATATTTGCCAGGGAGGGGAGCTGCTTCGGTACTTTTCGGAGAACAAATTTTCTGGCTTGATTTGATCAGACATGAAACAGTTTAACCAACAAGGGTTTCGTTCCAGTCCCCCTAAAAATGATTTGTTTTTGTGTTTTCTATGAGACATTGAAATGACATGTTCTTCTTGACATGTTCCTCTCACCCTGGCAGACATGGAGATGCTCTCCTTGTTGATGGACATGTCCATGTTCTCCGACCCCATGCTGCCAGCGTAGGAGTACCGCTTGTTGAAGATCCCTCCGTTGACGTAAGGCGAGGGGCTCTCGCCGTTCTCCCCGGTGGACGTCGGCTCCGCGGTGCCCTTGCTAACGCTGCCGTTTGGCCCCGGGCGGGACGCGGGAAGCGGGGTGTCGGCGGCGAAAGCGGCTCCGGGGGATTCTTCGTCCTTCGGGGTAGTGTTCTCCTCCTCCTCTTTGGTAGCCTGGACCTTGGATTCATTCGGGTCTACACTGATGTCAACGGTCTCCGTGGAGGCCTCGCTTTGTGGAAGAGACGGTGGCTGTTCGGACTCTTGCATCTCCAAGGCAACCTTAAAAAATAAAAGGAGCAAATGCATGATTAAAAAATGTAATCTACTTGAACACCCAACAGATGACATTTCAGGAACTGCTGATACAGTGATTTTTCAGTAGCTGAGGAACCTTGTCGTCTTCTAGCGTGGGGGTACTCTTTCCATCCTCGATCCCAGAGTCCGAGCTGGAAGTCTTGGTCGAGGCCTCGCTCTCGGATTTATTCGACTCGTGAATGACCTCGTCGGTCAGCTTGTCACCGTCGTCCTCAGAATCCCTGGGAGGGAGCTTCTGCCGCGGAAGGGGAACTGGAACGGGGACCACCATGATGGAGTTGGGCCCGTCCTCCGTAGGGGAGCCCGGCGGGGCCTCTCCCCCGGATAAAGGCACCGGCGTGGTCGGGGAAGGCGTGGTGGGGCTAGGGGTCAGCTGAGACTGATCTTCGTCCAAACTGGTCTGACTAGTCCGGCATGGCTCCTTGCCTGGAGACTGAGCAGAACAGAACAGAGAGGCTTTGTTACGCACCGATGCGACAAAACATTTGATGTCGTCAGGTTTTAAAGTCGCTGGTGGATTTCCAAATGCTAATGTTTTCAACCTCTGATTCGAGTCCAAATGCTAATGGAGGAAGTTGTTCATGCCTGCTGCCTTCAAGGAAATAGCTTCAGCCTTTGTCTGAACAGAATGCAGCCAGTCCAGCTTTATATTTCCGAACAGCTACTTTTAACTGTAGCTTGGCTGACAAATCTGTCAAGAAGCCTGTTAGACTTTCAACTTTCAACTTTTACGGGGATGACTAATAAAAAAAAAGATAAGAAAATGGATCATCACTGACCGATTTACAAAAGGAAGTAGAGCCCGGTTCTATTTCTGGTTTTGCCCAGAAAAGAACATTTCTAAATTGATTGTAATCAATGTGTTTAACATGATAAAAACTAAGAATAAATATTTAGTGCGTGTTTTCAAACTTCAGATTTGGTTTAAGGGAAAACATAAGCATATCATTATGCCCCCTAGGAAGAGATAAGAAAGGATAGTCATATAAAAAGAAAATAGAAATGTAATTTAGAATTGAAGAGTGGCAAAATGATCATTTTTTCTTGCTTTCAAAACCTGAAAACCTTTGCATTGTAAATGGGATCACTACCCACAAAGTGTACTCTGATGTTTTGCACACTATGGCACGGCACATGACCAAATTATTTGCAATTTATGAAAAACTGTGCAAACCAATATTTTTGTATGTATATAAATAGAGGCATTCTCTTTAGTAACGTTAGAAGACATCATCAATAAACACGATTTCTTCTGACGCGATATGGAAACCACCTATTTTTACTTAAGGGTCAGATTACAACATCAGGACAATGAGCGACCTTAAATTATTCACTCCATCAGTAGTTAAGGGACAACAATTGTTTTCTGTACAGAAGTAAGGGCTGAAAGCAGCGTCTATATTTAACCGCGTGTGGGTGTGCGTGAAGGCCAGTATTCCGGTTTCTGTTCCTTTGTTTGTGCTGACACACGGTTGCTTTCTAATCCTGTGACCACTGTGGATTTGTGAATGACCTCGGCCGGGTCAATAAATCCATCGACTGGAAGTCTCAGTTCCCCCAAAAAAACAAAAACACGCTATTCAATAAGGGGTCATGGAATAGGCAAATGAAGGGAGGCAGTTCAAGCAGAATTTGGGAAATGGAGAGAAGTGCAAGTACTCTATTTTGGGAATAGAAAAAAGAAAACAGACAGAAAAGAGAGACTGAATAGAAAAGGTACCACAGTGAGCTCCATGGTGTCGTCGTCCTCTCCTTCCTCTCTATTGTCCTCTATTTCCTCCATGACTTCAGCCTTGGCCTCGGCCACCAGCTCGATCAGTGGACGGTTGGACGTCACCGATCTCACGAAAGGGTGCTGTGGGCAGAATCAGGACGGATGACCATCGTAAATGAATCGATGGATTAAAAAAAAGCATCTCACGTTAAATACACTCATATTAAGATAACACGAGGAGGTGAGATAAGGCTGCAAGAAACTTTCACTGCTGAGGAAACCCCCCCCCCTCGCCCCCCCCAATCGGCCGGTTCCTGAATAGCTGCAACAACAATGCAACTCTGCCTTTGATTTTGTTTTTCGGTGTTGCACAAAACACTTTTTTTAACATCTGGAAAAATCGTTAAAAAAAATCAAATAAAGTTCTGTTTGCCACGATGCAAATGGCGCGAGGGAAATAAGCTGCTAAATTTAACAGAAGGTGCAGCCGAGATAAAAGGCTGATCATTCATTATTCAGATGCTTTGCATTACGGTGTAACTTAACTGGAACAGCTGACAAAGGGAGAAAGCCATAAGTGATACGGGACCGTGAAATGTGCAGAAGCCAGAGTGTGTGTGCACGTCTGATTTGAGTAATCAGAGTTGTTTATCTGCAGGCCTGCATTAAGCCTCGGCCTTTAACTGCTCCAGTGATAGTCAGCTACAGCTTAATGAGAAGTGTGCATTATGAGGCACACAACTCATACAAACATCAAACATATGACCGCATCTCTGCACGTGTGCAGAGGCGGCCTTGAATCTTATATTATTTCAAAGTTTAAAATCGAAGATTAGATTTTTATCTTATGGTGAACCGTCTCACACAGACCTACGACGCCCCCTGTTATGGCATCGGGTAAATTGCCGCTCAGCTGGGAAATGGGTCCTGTGCAAAAGAGCTACTGCTTAAAATGTGTTTTGAATAATGTTGTAGCACACAGCAAATTTAAAACAGTCATGCTTTAGAAAGAAAAAGGAAAATAGGTCAAAACAAATTGTTACAGTGTCAGTTTATGACAGTTTTCATGTTATCACCTACTGAGTAATCTGCCCAAAGGTTATTTCATAAGTTTGGGTGGTACCAGAGAGATGAACACATTTCATTGCTCAATCTAGGCACAAGAGGTTGCAACACGTCATAGAAAATCTAAAAGAAAACATGCTTTCACCCAGAAACTTTTAATTGACAATAACTATTCTACATAGGAGAGCAAGCATGTTCTCCAGTCCATTGAGCTGAAAAATAGGTCCAAGATCTATTGGGCTTACTCAATGCAGCTCAACTCTAATCATTATTTTCCAATCGGGGCTTGCAACTCAGTTACAGTTTAAGGACCTACTAGTCCAGAGTTTCAAACTGGCTAACTTGGGCCATCTGTTTCTATTGTGAATAATAACTAGATTATATGGACAATTTATTATGAATATAGTTTATTCACAAAATAAATTGAGCATAAAATATATTGAGTCGAGATATGTATTACACTACAACAAGAATAATATTAGAGATTTTAATGAGATCTACCCATTTTTGATTTTTGCAGCAATGTAGAAACTCTGAGAATTCTATTTTATCTAGTCTAATTGTGTGATCCCTTACAGTTATCCAATACTTCTCTCTAACTCTGAGTCACAGAATGTGTTGCATTCCTCACAGTCTGAAATTAAATTTGTAGGTTTGCGTTTTTGACACTTGACTCAACATGTTCCTTACTCACAGAAACTGAAAAAAAGTAGTCCATTGTATTGGTCATGTATTTCTCAACAGCTGGTTTCTCTCAGACACCAGCCAATCAGTGTTAATATGCAAGAACATTAATTAGCACAGCGGTCAGTTCAATTCGCAGCTTTTTGCATGCTCATCTCTCAAAATGCCTTGGGCTACTGGCAAAACACAAACTTTCCCACTAGATCTGCAAAAGTGACACTTTCATTTATGTGCCTGGGGCTTTGTGCAGAGCCGTGAGCATGCTCACCTATCCTGCTTCCAGCTGTCAGAAAAAGCTAAAATGTAGCTCTGTATCAATAAAAAAGAAAGCAAATTTACCAATATAGCTTTTAAATATTTTTAAAAAGACTCACATTTCATCCTCATGTTCAGTGATGCAACAGAATGGGAATCTACATGCCAAACTATAATGTGAATGAATGTTTAATACATGAGCTCATGATTACTACTGAGGTCACATCACAACAACAGCTCCTATAATCCCCTGCTGCCTCCCAATGCTAAATAGCACTTAAATAATTAAAGGTAGAAAAACATCAACTGTCTATTCAGCTAATTAGAACACTTCTACTGAACACCTTTATGCGATGTGGACTCTGACAACAGTAATTATACAATTTCCATAGCAGTAAACATGTCATTCTGGATCAAAACCATCTTGTATACTCTACCCCTTTACTTTTAGCAAAATAATATTTATGCAACACAGGCAATTCAACAAAGTGGTAGCTGCAGCCAGTTAAATCTGACCTCCCATGCTAAAGCAGACTCCCTGGGGCAAATCAAAGGAAGGAAAACGCCAGACTGCGGGTGCTGCTACCGTCCTAAGTCCAGCCGTGTTTTTCTTTTTACCGATCCCTATGGATCAAGGCGTGGATCAGTGCGGCTTAAGTGCTCTGTTTTAAGTTTCACTTCGCTTTAGGCCCGAAGAGGTGAAAGATTTTACATGCACGGCTAGGCGTGAAAAGGTGAAATAGGAACAATATGGCTCTGTGAGTATAGGAGCAGGGGGCTGCGTGAGAGTCCAGCTACCTGTGAATCGGCGAGGTGAAGCCTGTGTGTGTGTGTGTGTGTGTTATCCGCCCTATTCAGCTGGATAAAGTGAGAGTTTTAAACCCCGAGTGAGAACATTTCTTTATAGTCATGAGCGGTCGGCCATCGTGTCTTTGAAGGCTGGGTCAGAAATTAAGGTTTGTTTTTAAGGTGGAAGATTATAATTAGGTCAGGTCTGGGGTGAGGATTAGGGCTGGGCGAGTTGGGAATTTGGTTAAGGCAAGTCAAACCGTACAAAAAGAGATCCCATTATATGCTGTGTGAGACACAGAACTCACATTGGCTACTTTGCACCATCACATTTTGATACCTACAACAAGAACTATGTAAGAAAAAAAGACATAAAACTCTTAGTGGGCGGACAGCCTGTACAGTATAATGAACACTAGTCATTCAGATGGTGTGCCACCAGCCACACACCCACAGTGACTGATCCTGTGTCATGTTGTTTTGTAAAAATTCTTTACGGGCAAACATGTGGGACGGACATATGGCAAAAAGTAAATCCCAAAACAAAAAATGGGGGAGAAAAAAATACTCCAGTTTAAATGTTTGATGACTGTGGTTTTCAGCTCTGACTTTTATTTCCTTTGTAATTCATTAGCACATCTCTCACACTTTAGGCTAGACTCCAGATTTTCCCACCGTGATTCATTACGATCCCCACGTTCAATAACCCGCCGTCCATCTGATTTTCATAGCTACGCACTCCGTTGGGCTGCTGCACTGCAGATGGCACACTGTGGCCCCAAAACTTCCCTCCGCACGCTCACGCCGTCCAACTGCTTAGCTAAAAGCAACACTTTCATCATCCAAGTGTCTGCAGCAGGCATGATAAACATCTAAAACCTCCAGCAACGGCACCAAAAAAAAAAAAAAAGGGCCGCGCCCATCTTCCCCCTCACGGGCTGAATTCCCAACGGGGCCTGGGTCTAGGATTTTTCATTTCTCTGCCTCCCTCTAATTGGCCAGAGGTGGTGAGCTCAGGGTGGTCCCGGCGTGCAATTGGCTGAGCGCAGGAATGTAAATAGCTGGCATTCTCCCTCAGCTGTGGGACGCCGACAGGAAACTGTAGCTCTGAATTTTAATAGATGTTACTCGTGTTCTTTAATCCACACCCAGCTCGCTCCTTTTTCTCATTCCTGCTGAAATTGTAAAGTGATGAATGAAACGGTTCTCAGATACCAGCATAAGTTACTTTTTAATGTACCCCGGGCTTCAACTGAGTTGGGAAAAACTGCCTTCTCCTACTCTGCACCTTGGGGTTGGAATAACCTCCAGAAAGAGCTCAAATTAAAAACTCTAGTGTCCATTAATGAATTCAAAGCAACCATGAAGAGTGTAGTGATGGAGATATGTGCTTGTCTTTCTTGAGATGCTCAATGTGTTTTAACATATTGCTCTGATTTTATTATGTAAAATGTATTATGTATGATTTTTTGGGTGGTTTGGCTGCTACCTTGGCCAGGTCTCTCTTGAAAAAGAGATTCCGAATCTCAATGAGACTTTCTGGTTAAATAAAAAAATAAATAAATAAAATAAATAAAAAAATAAGAAAAAAGATAATTAACTATTTATGGCCAATATTCAGGTGCACTAAAGTGGCGACCTGTGAACTGCCCGACTGGTTAAAAACAGCCTGTTGTTCTTATGGAAAATGCCTTTAAGCTAACAAGATGTTGCTTAAAGGCACCATTTTTTTTCAAGGGCTGCAGCTCCCTCCAAAATATGAAAACGCCAAGATATGAAATGCTTTCCAACATACAGGGGTTTTCCTAACCTAGAAACCCATTTTCATATTCTGTGAACCTCGATGACGTGAGAGAAAAATGGGTATTTGTAAAGACTTGAATAAGGTAACTGTTCTGAAAGAAGCATCTGGCTGCATTAAAGCTTTCCACTGTACACTATAAACAAATATTTTATTTTAAAAACTTTAATAAAATGTAAATAGGGGCCAAAAAAGTTTCCATGTGTTGCTCAGCAATGCTGCTCCCACTAACCGTTCTGCCCTATTGTGAAAACACCATCAGTGTGCAGTTACATCTTTAAGAGTACATTTTTCTCTCTGGTTTCATAAAGAATGGCCCTGGGTTTCTTATACTATAGGAGATACTAAAACAATGATAGCTGCATCCTTTCCTTTGAGCAAACACAGACGAGTGCTGCAGCTTTGCACATAATGATTACTGTAAATATAAAGCATGCAAATCTATTAAAGCGAACCCTGAAATAAAAACCAAGATTTAGGACTGACCATCGCAATCTGGTCATAAAAACCCAAACCAAACATTGATTTAAACTTCCTGTGGGAACACTGCGTTCTATTGGTCTTTATCTTACATCGACACAATAATATGCCAAAGTGCAGCGTTATATATTCCCATCGTTAAAATCGCACACATTTGTCAGGACCTACCTCCAAGAGCTGTGCTGCAGTTGGACGAGTCTCTGGGTTTTTGTCCAGGGCCTTCCTCAAGAAATCTTTAAAATCCTTCGACCTTTGATGAAACAGGACAGAAGAGATTTACAGGGGCAGAGGGAGAAGTTGCTATATTAAAATAAGAGAGTAAGAGATAATCTGCCCACAGCCATTTAATTAAAGTAAAATGGGGAAGTGGTGGTGGTGGTGGGGGGGGTTCTCTCAGCAACCTACCACAATGTCCTGTTTCAGAACCTAGTGACTTTGCATTTGCAGTGATACATTGTGTTGCAATGGAATATTAAGACTCTTTAGATTAATTGGAAGAGTTGAGACGTGGCATTCGATTAAAGCTAGACCCAACGCTGGTTTGGCAAAGAAAAAACAGACGGGAGGCTGAAGAATGGGAGCAGTCTTAATACACTAAAGTGTATCGATGTTGAGAAAAAATGCAACAAAATGACACACAGGAAGATATACTGCCAATGATATCTCCACATACCCTAGCCTGAGATAGAGTAATCAAACAAACTCTAGAAAGATATTCCCCTGATTCCCTCTGCAAGCGGCTAAAAATGGCACAAGACTCTTCGGACTTATTCGCAAACACATGGTTCCCGCACCATTTATGTGGTGCATCCAGGGAGGGAGGCTCAGACTTGGCGATCTTCAGCAGAACCCTCATCGGGTTGAGCTCGTGGTGTGGGGGTTCGATCTGTGCGAGCTCGATCAGCGTGATTCCTAAGGACCAGATGTCCGCCTTGTAGTCGTACGGCGCGTCCTTCATCGTCTCGCACATCACCACCTCCGGGGCCATCCTGAGACAGAGGCGAGGTAGAAAGATAAAGATTTTTTAGTTTGGCCTAGTGTGGGACACAAAAGCCATAAAAAACAGCTTATTTACAACAATATTACCACTTTTGTAAGTATTCTGAAAGTGTAGAGAAAAAGAATGGGCTGATAAATATGTCTCCAGTTTCGGTTCAATACATGTATTAAACCGAACTTTACATATGCTTCAGGGTGGTTCGGGAGTTAATCATTTTTTAAGGTCAGAACACTTTCGCAGACAATCCTCCCCAAATGTGACTAAGAAAATAAAGAAAACTTTGTTGTCAAAAGCCACAAAGTTGAAGATAGAACAACTCTCACTCATTTGAGCAGGATTACCTTACCTTCATTTGTTACTATTTGAAAGAAGAGCGAAACGGGTCAAAACCACAATGGATGCCTCTTAATAATCTACTTAAAACCTTTTTTTTTACCTCTGTACTCTTTTGTTCTTCTCAACAGCTCTCAAGACAGTGAAATACCAGTTTACCAGTCTATAGTTTGATTTTGCTTCCAGTTTAATGTTTGAGTCTTCTTGGTCTTCAAGACCTGCTACATTTTATCATTGAATTTAAATGCCTGCTGAGAAAAATGGCCCAGTGAAAACTGGGAGCAACAGGTATTTAAAGCAGTCATCAATCAAAACCTGTAATCAAAAGCTAGGAAAATTATTAATTTAATGCCAGAATCTACTGTTCTTCTTCTCCTCGCTTGATCATTTCACGTCACTGAATTAGTTCAATATATTTGCAGCCCATTATCTGTTTCAGTGATCAGGACTGTTAAATGCTCCATTTGGGTTTGACAAGTGTATGCCGGATTGCATTAGGCAAAGCACAAATCTCATCAAGCAATTTTGCCCTCGATGATCTCTTCAATGAGAAAAATAAAATGGTTATTTCCACCTCATAATGCAGAGCTTTAGTCTTACCAGTATGGAGTTCCGATGAAAGAATCTCTCCGTTGTAAGGTTTTGGTATTTTTTGCAGACACACCAAAATCAGCTGGAAAAAAAAAAGTGGAGAAAAAAAAACAATTAATCATGTAACTGATATTTGCGGTTAGAATTCAACATCTTGGTGTAAAGCATTCATATTTCTAGCCTCCTTTTTAAGACGTCATGACAAATCCAGATCTAGAGGATTCACAGCAGTCCCAATCCCCATTTCCCAAATAAATTCCCCAAATTTAACTCATAAAACACTCCAATTACAAGGCTTTTTTCACTCTGGCTTACAGATTTAGCAAAAAAAACAAAACATTCTCACTCCTTCAGTAACTGACAGTTCTATTAAAGGGACTTAAATTGCTTTAGGCTTTTACAGACTGAAGCTAAAATATCATTGACCATCCAAGCAGATCATTCCCTCTATGACAGCTTAGGCTCAAGCAGGGTAAAAAAAAAAAACCCCTAAAATATTTCTGGAGGACACCAGAAGCAACACCATTTATGAAACGTCAACAGCAACGTTTTATCTAGACTCGGAGACCTGTTGGGAAATCAGCGGCCACTAAAGACCTCGACCAACACGACCCAGAAACTGGAAGAAGGGCCGCCACATCGAGTTTAATGTCGTGTCTCATTGGGAAATTTTATTCCATTTGGCTTCCCCCAAAGACCGTTGATTGCTGCCTTGTTTGAATTAACATGTAGTTAGACAAGCTCGGAAACTCTTAATGAGTCCATACCGTGGCATAATGAGTTAGAAGAGGCAACTCCCAGTGATTAAATCTAACTTTGGCCCTTTGGGGAAGAATGTAAGACAGGGAGGGGGGCTTGACCGGAAGTATGAGCCCAGATCAGACAGTACAATGTGTCAAAAATGATTCATTTGGTAGTAAGGAGGGAAAAAGCTAAACCATGGAGTCAAACTTAACCGAAGCACAGCTGATTCCAACTACATCTGTGTGTGAAGTTCTTAAATTAACAAATGAAAAGCTAAAACATCACAAGCCCCTAAAGACACCCAAATATTGTCATTTGAGATTATATATCTGAGGAGCCAACTGAACTGACACTTCCCCTCTCCTCTGGAAAGCCACACGCTAATCCAAAACACACTGGCTTTTGGGCTGGGTCCACATCTGTAATGTGAAGAATGCGGAGAACTCTTCAAAAAGCCAACAAAAGAAAAATATGCAACATTCTCAGGATGCAGTTTTCCCACACAGGGCCTGCTCGCGATCCTCCGACAGCAACGCAGGAAGCCCGCAGGGCCCCGAGCTGCGTGGATGGGCGAAGAAACAAAGAAAACCTAGGAATTATCTGTGAATCTGTTCTATTTGGCCAATTTTGCGAGTGAAGTGTTTTCTCCTCAAAGGTTAAATATATGCAAACCCTTTATTTTCGCTTCTTTTTTGAGTCTGAGGAACATTTATTGGTTTTGGGCTTCATTTGGAACACCATTCTATATAGCAAAGACACAATCTTTGGAAATGTGTATGCTTCTTCTGCTTACATTATAGAACTATAGAAAAGTCTAAGAAGGCCATTTGGAACACTTTTTAAACTTAACAACTCACAAATTTAGCGACCTTTTTTTAAAATCATTATTATTGTTGTTCTTTATATATATCATGTTTCAAAATAAATTAAATGAAAAAAATAAATGAAATATTAAATTAAAGCCTTCCCCAATTGTTTCCAGTGAAAGCAGCCCTTCTAAAAACAATGGTCAATGCATTGAAACCACCTAAAATAGAAACCTTACCCAGTTTGATGTCCCCATCCAGCATGAGGAGGATGTTACCCGCCTTCAGGTCTCTGTGGATGATCTTTATGCTGTGGAGGTAGACCAAAGCCTCCAACATCTGGCGACAGACCACCTTGATCTGGGGCTCCGTCAGGCCTCGGTCTAACTCTGATAAAGGCAGGTGGAATGGAGAGGTTCAGTACAGGTAAGAGGTTTAAACGAAAACAGATTGATAGACTGACTCGACATTAAGACAGAACTAGTGTGAGAATTTTACGGGAGGAAAGCATTTCCATCAACCTGGGATGTCAGATAAGATTGTGTTACTGGATAAATCATCCCAGATTAGGATAGCTCTCACACATCCAAGCTGGTCTCAGCCCGCAGACTTTACTCTACTTTCTCTGTGTTTGGCTAGCTGCAGAGGGATACAGGCGCTTATGAGGACGTGGATTAATCAGTGAAAACAAACTAGGGATTTTTTCCCACACCCAGCCTCTCTACTATGCCCGCCTAGCTCAAGGTATTCAAAGCCAAACTGGGATCAGTGTGATTCTGGATGATTTTTTTCCCCTCTCATCATGATGCTTTGATTGGAACTCGTTCCTTTCATGAGCGATATTAAAGAGGTGCAAACACAGATGAGGGAGGCAGCTTTTAAAAAGACACAGAGAGCAAAAAGAACTGAAACGGCCTACCTAACATGTTGGCATCCATGGCCCCTCCAGGGCAGAACTCAATCATGATCTGTGAGACAGGAGAAAAGGGGCGAAGTTAAGTTTACCCAGATGTGAGCACACATCTCAGAGCTTGAATAGAGCACAAACGAGAAGTGTTAAGTGTGGGCAATTCAGATTTGAGTATTAGCAGATACTCAGTGGACACATTTTTAATGGTAAACCAAAAAGAGAAAGAAAAAAAAACCCTTCCTCACTGATGAATGATAAAAAGGAAATCACTTGTTCATCATATATGGTCACATGACTAATACACATTATTAAGGGACTTCAAATCCATGAAGAAGGTGATATTTGGATGTTGTGTGACACCAACAGGGTGAGCTGCAGCTGACGCTGATCTAAAATGGTCTGAGATTATTCCTCAGGTGCTGAGCCGCATACCTGCTGCGTGATCTAACCCTTAAAGTATCTGGCTGTTGCGACAACACTGTCAAAGAATCAGTCTGGGCAGGGAGCGGCATTTTAGTCAAGCCAGTAAAAAAAAAAAAAAAAAAAAAAAAAAAAAGGCGTGCACATGCGTAGACACACACACGCACACCCACACCCACACCCAGAAAGGGCACGTGTGAATGTGAGAAATGACAACTGCCTCCCTGGTGACAACTGAAAAGAAACTCTCACACACACACATACACACATAAACACACATACTTGTGTTGAATTTGTGTGGAGAAAAAAAAAAAAAAGCCCAGAGGATGAGGAATGCCGATCTTGGCATGCGGCTAGAGAGTGGAACAATACTCTTTTGTGTAGTTTAGACTGACAATCCCCAATAGTTTGGGTTTTGTCATTTGTTATCGGGGATGTTTTTACTTCGCCGCGGTCTGTTGAACAGATAGTTTCACAGCTCAGCTTTCCAGCAGTCTGGTCTGTGTGTATCAAACACACATGCTGCCGGTGTGTACACTTACCCACAGTGTCAACAGTCTGTCCTGGTCCTGATAAGTCTCCAAGTCAATGAAAGCACCCTAACATGTGATGTGAAAGTAAGTGACTGAATTGGCTGTGCGCTGAGTAAAAACCGCAAGCACTAAATGAAAATAAATAAATCAAAATGACATACAACAAATTATTTTTCCCTGCTGGTAATTAAGGAGTGTTGTAATAATTTCTTTAAAAAAAAGGGAAAAAAAGACAACATCACGGTGAGGGGATGGATAGCGAAGGTAAAAAACTTATTTTTGCCTTTTTGGTTTTGTAGTCTGACTTTATTTACCCCTGACAAGCCTAGAAATCATGAAAACCAACTAGCACGACAAGCTCAATAAGATCTGTCATATCAAGTTCTCAGGAACATGACTTAGGGACATTTAGAGACGACGCCTTAAGGAGCGTGACTTGACAGCATCAATCATCAACTACCTTCAATCCAGATTATCCAGTTGGAATAATGGGCCCAGATCTAACAATGTGTTGTTGATTCTTGTAGAAATTGACAGACTATGACACACACAAAGAGCTTGATGAAGTTTAATTTCCAGATCACATATTCATAAATCGCTTTTTTACTTAAAACCACGTGCCATTCAAGCTCTGAATCAAGAGAACACCGGGAGGGCAATCACAAGTTTCAGCATTAACCACTTCCTATTGCCTCTCACCATCTATTGCCCAAAATGGGTTGTTTCTCTTCCGGCTAAAAATTAAAGGAACTGCACAAAAACAACAAAAACAGCTGGATGTGTTAGGTTGCGGAGAAACTGGTTTGTGTTGTCATCAAAGTCTACCCTGCCTGAAGGAATTCTGGGTGACGTGTGGAGAAGAATGCGCTCCAACCGGTGGGGCGGCGTGTAAAACATACCCGCGGCGGGTGGAACACGCCTGCAGACTGAGGCCTCGCACAGGAAACCCTAAAAGCTGACCAACACAAAGTGTCGGGGCTTCATAACCCAGCAGTTCAGCTATAAAACCAAGTGAATGCACCTACACAAGAGTTAGACTTACACACAATAAATCAGCACTTTAAACTAAGGACATTTATCTTTTTTTTTTTTTTTTGTTTTTTTTTTTAACCAGAGTTGCAAAGCTGAAACAAGATCAATTATCTGCTAGGGGTTTTTTTTTAGAATTTATTTGAGACGATTTGGGCCTAACTGGACAAAAATGTAAAAGAATAATTGAGACGAATGGATCAGGCCTCGCTGACTCTGCAGAGTTCCTTCAATTCAACGCTTTGGTAGTCTCAGTGATCTCTCACCTTGTTTCATTGTCGGACGAAAAGAAAGCAAAAGGGCTCTTTCAGCAACAGAGGCCTGCCACAAAACAACCATCCAGAAGAGAAAAGAAACGGGAGCCTGCAGTGCAGCGTTAAACCAGAGTCACAGAGTTACGCTCTATTAAAACTCACTGACAGACACATTGTCTCTTCCTTATTTGCCAAACCAACCCTGAATGCACAGGAAGTGCACGCCAACACAAGCTGCACTCAAAATTATTAAATTCCAGATAAATGCTCTTAGAAATGTGAGTCAGTCTTCGCAGTTTTAGATGGAAATGGATCTGACCACAAACAGATTGGTGAAAAACAACTATGCATGTTTTCACTTTAAGGGGGTTAAAAGTCACTAAGAAACCTGTTGCGTAAATATGCAACGAAGCGATGATGACTTATAAAGGGAATACGATGTGACTTGATACAAAGTTTTCCTTTGTTTGCTCTGAGGGAGGCACTATCTTCCCTCTGGAATGCATCGTGAGCTTTGTTACTGTACTAACGCTTTATACGTCCTCATAAAGCAATTATCCCTTCCTATCTGGTACAGTGGCCTTTAGAAAAGGTGGTGTGCAAGACCAGTTGACTCTGATTTTGTATTCTGAAGTGATTTTCAGGGGGTTTAGGGGAGTTTCAGCCTTTGGGAGAGATGGCAGTGGCTTCGGTCCTAAAAACTGATATCTCAAAACACATCTTAAAATGTGAAATTAATTTAGTTACATGGCAAAGACTATCCGCGAATAGATGGGACAATAATCTACTGCATGAGATACCGCTGCCACACTGCTATAGGTTAGGAAATATTCAGTGGAAATCATTTCCAAAACAGCTCTCATGGATACAGTCAGACTGTCAGCAAGGGTACAAAGTCCTAACTTCCATAAGCACAGCTCCAGAGGGCCGTGTTATTGATATTTAAATGTATAAATCTTCGATCTATTCCCACAGAAACAGCATCCATTTTTTATATAAACCAATCTTTATTGGAAAGATTACATGTAAACAGACGGTCACTTATTCAATAATGTACAAACTTTTACCTCCCCTGTATCTAAATATTGTTGCCCATCTGTTTAACACCCCAGCTTCAATCTCCCTGTCTGTTCATTCTTTGCAGTGTGCTGATGTCAGCATCCCGTTAAAGGCCCTCTTTTTCTCACGCTGTGGGCCCTTGGCTGCCTCGCCAGCCTCAAGACCAGATTGTTCCCTGAAGAGGAACAAACAGCTTTTTCTCTCCTCTTTCTCCCTCTGAACCCTCTCGCTCTTAGCGGAGTGGAATGCAGCAAATCACCCCGCCCAGTCCTCCAACCTGGAGGCCACCGAGGCCTGACCGCCAACCGTTAGGCTAATTGTTGAGACCCCGATGCCCACACACGCACTCTCGGTCAAGAACTGTTCAAGTGGTGTAAGTAGGAAGTAACTGTGTACCTGTACGCAGCTTAAAAGTGGATATGTGAATGCCAAAAGACAGTCAGTAGGAAGCTACACAAACCTAAACCCACACATCTGTAAGCACAGCAAGCAGGGATGTTTGTTCTTTTTTCTTTTTTTTTTGCATAATTTACCAGTGTGACAGAGCACAGCTGAGTACCGAGACTTCCTTTTTGTACTTTTAGAAATTCCAGGACATCTCTGGGACTGTGATGCAGCTCTCCGTGTGAATGTGTGTGTGTGTGTGTGTGTGTTTGTGTTTGCATAGGGGTGGAGGCCCAACCCAGGCCATATTTCGTTGGAAGTCGTCCATCAGATTTGTAGGCGTGTGTCGTTTATGATGCACTCCCAAAAAAAATAAAAAGGTTAGACACTGATTTAGAAGTTTTGGGGTTTCCAGCCATTGTGGTTCATGGCAACTTGGTGGCAATTCTACATATTTACACACCGCATTTGTGTATCAACGTATACCAACCTAAAAAACGCAACCTCAACTTAAAAATATGAACCATCAGAACAATCTAAACATCCTGATCTTATTTAAAAAAGTGCTTTTTCTCCTCATGGATCTGATTTTCAATCTCCTAAGAAGCAGCTCAGAAAGGATTTGTTGCTCTTTTCTAAATTTAGCTCTTAAATCTTCCTCCCTATCTAAAGAAATTAAAACCACAAAGAAAATAGAATGAAGAAAAGCCAAACTATCTTTAAACTTGCTTCGTAATTGCAAAGATATTCAAGGTCTTGCCCCGGCATGAGGTCACTATTATTTGACTTGGCTGAAGAGAGTGGAAGATTACAGAGAGAGACGAGGAATTTACTCCTCACCCAGTGTGCGAGTGGCTAAAAAAAAAGAAGGTGTTTAGAAGGAGAACATACTGTGACCGTACTATGAAACTCATTTTTTTTCTTTGTGGTAACACAAGGGGTGAAAACGGGGTTAGTTCTGACACATTCTGCCATTGCAGAAATCAGCTCTCACCCCCGTTCAGGTTATTCATAGTTCTTACCTTCATCCAACAGAAATAAAGTCCAGATAAGATAAAGGTGTAATAAAACAACATATCTGTCAGAAAGAAATGGAACATCCAGCGATGTGTGGGTTTGTGCGTTTGTTTTTCCATTATTGTGATTATTGCTCACTATTGCTCTTGTAAAGCGTGTAAACTCCTAAAGGCAGGCAACATAAAACATTTTGAGTGGCAGGTTTTTTTGTTGTTTTGTTTTTTCGGAGATCCTGCAGCAGGTATCAGTATCACATTAAAAGAGAATGACTAAGATGGGGGAAAAATAATTCTATTTTTTTAAACAAATAAATAAATAGAAAATTTAAAAAATTTAAATGAATTAAGAGTACGCAGGGAGGGCAAAAAAAAAGTAAAGAATAGCTTTTAAATTGAAAAAAAAAAATTGAATCAACCAACCTTTGGCTTTTATTTTTTGTAAAATCTTTAAAAACACTAAACCCTGAATAATCTCAAACGCAGCAAAACGTCCAACTCATGACATCAGCTACTCCTCCAGAGGAGCAACATGGCTTTCAGAGTAATTTGGGCATAAAAGAACAGTTACAACATGTCAAACGTTGGCTTTGCGCTGGCTTTGTTGTGATCAGAATCGCAGCTACTTCAGCAAGCAGAAAAGGTTACTTTATTTCTAAGATCCACTTCCATCCGGGGAGGTTTGGTGGTGCTCGGGCTTGGGTTCTGGTTCTCGGCCCCTGTCAGGGGGACGGGGCCCGGTTAGGGCTGGTGGGCTGTGGCTCATGGTTCTTGGGGGGGGCTCCGCCCTACAGTGGTGGGGGGATTCCCCGGTGGCCTTCTGGGCTAGTGCCCTGTTGTCTCTGTGGTCATCTTCCTGGGATCTGCTGGAGGGTGGGCTGTGTGCCATGGGCCCCTCTGCACGCATAACTGAGCTCAATCTGGGAAACCTGGGCTGCGGGTTTATGCTCACACACACCGTCAGCTACCCACACACACACACACACACACACACCTCTTCCAGCTTCTGTTCAGTTCATGCCCAGTTCTGAGATGCTAACTGATGTCCTTGCTACCTGCGTTGATGCTGCCGTTGCTTTTGTTTTGTGTCAATTTTCAGGTGTTCCTAAAGGTTCTCTGTCCGAATTTCCCGCAAGGAACTACAGGTGGTTTTTCTTTCTTTTGTACAGACAATTTATGTCTGTACAATTTGTACAATTTTTGTATGGTTTTGTTGCGTTTAATTTTTTTTCTTTCTCTCACTCCAAAGGATCTTTCTCCTTTTCTGTTTTTTTTTTTGCTCTTCTTTTTTCCCTGTACCTCTGTCAGGTTCGGTATTATTGGATATATGTCAAATTTTGCAACAAAAATAAATAAATAAAGGACTGTTGGATAATCAAAGGGGGCTTTTTAACAATAAAGCTGCCCTTGGCAAAGAAAATGTGTTCTGCATAGCAGATTTCAGTTCTGCTGCCATAAGGCTGAACAGGACATGGTTAAAGAAAAAAAAAAAAAAATGGGGAGGTTCTTTTTGATGAATTGTGTAGTCAGTTATTTCTATTTTGGGGTTTTTGGGGGGTTTGACTTGTGTGATAGTGTTTAGAAAAGGTTTTCTAACCGTACACAAAAAAAATTAATACAATAACTAGATAAAAAAAACTTACCCAGAGTTTGTTTTCATGATAAAAGGCATCAAGCAACTTGACAATGTAGCGGTGGTCACATTTAGCCAGGATGTCGATCTCAACAATGTAGTCTTCCAGCTCCTCCTCACATTTTGTTTCGATCACTTTGGCTGCAGCCAGGATGTCTGTCTCCTTGTTACGGGCCTGAAACACAGAAACAAGACACACATGAGGCTTTTTTTGTTGTATTTTCCTAAAGGATCTATGTACTTACTAATCAGTGTGGAAATAAATTAAGGCTCCACTAAGAAAATTCATATGTGAATGAAATAATCAATTAAATCAAAACTAAAAAGTACTAAACTAAGCTTCTTTGTCCTAAGGCTAAAATTATTTAGCAACATTCCTGCTCAAATTGCACCCAAAGAGAAGCAGAAACACGAAGATCCACCACACAGCAATTAAACGCTGACCAAACATTTTAAGAGAAAACAGGAAAAGAAGCTCCACACCCTCTCCGAGAAGCCTTGGAGATGGAGAAACAAGAAAAAAAAATCCATAGAGGCATCACAAATAACAAAAACACGTTAGAGATTCCAAACGCAAGCAACCACAACAATAACGTGGGAACGCAAACAGAATAATCAGTGCCTCAATAGTAAGAAATAGCTGAATGAATCATTTAAAAAACAACAACAAAAAACACAAGGTTTGACATCATGAGGATGAGTAGGTCGTGAATCAGGACAGATGGGATGTTGTGTTTATGGTTTCAGAACCATGTGCTTGATGTTGTCAACACAGTCAGGATGATATTAACAGTGAATGATGCATTTGACTGCTACATTTGATTTTTTTTTAAATCCCACAGTCAGCAATTAAGAGGAGCTTAATGACTGTGGACATCTCGACTGTGACAGATCAGAGCGAGAAAGGGATCACCGTGCGAGCATTTTTAGACAGCCCTACCAGTCAGTGACTTGCAGAAAGACGGCAGAGTAAACATCTGGGCGGGGGCTAACGCCGCCTCGCTATACAGGGGCTGTGGGAAAACATCTGTACAAACATGCGAGACTCTCAGTTCTGCGCTCCGTGACTATACATGTGTGTGTGTGTGTGTGTGTGTGTGTGTGTGAGGGCAGACGGCAAACACAATTCCAAAGAAGCCGAGCTAACCCCCATCGGAGAAAACCAAAAGAGCGAGTCAACAAAGACCACTCCTCCTGCTGTCCAACAGCCAGCCGGTCAGTCAACAAACTGTAAACACCGAGACGGATCCTTTCACTTTAGTGCCAAAAGCTCAGGGTATCTGCCACTACAGGCAGAGGGTTTGATTTCAGACAGGTGAGCACGCAACACGTAACCGTTTAGGGCTCCAAAGTTTCTTGGTGTAACGAACGCAGTTACATGGGCATTTTTTCTGTGTGAATTTATTTTATTTTGTGAATATGAATATGTTTTACTTTTAATATCCATTTCATATCTTTGTGTATTTTCGATTAATATGTACATACTTGGGAAAGTTTTGTAACAATATGGAGACGTCAGCGATTGGGTTTTCACTTGATCACGTGATGCCTTTGATAGGAAGCTGTGAGTTGTTTACAATTAGTCTGCGTATGCAAGAGAAAAGGCAAAGGACGGAAAAACGGAAAAAATGGACTTCTAGCAACTCCTAACCTTCTGGTTGGAGGGGCATACGGTACGGACAATTTAGAAAATGTATATTATGTTTAATAAGTTTCATTTGATAATTCATGTAGGTTTTATCGATGTATATTTTCCACCGCGTATTTTGCAGTGTTCACGGAGGTCTTGGGCGTGCATTACGGCAAATCCGTTAATAAACGTTTGGAACCATCAGTTGGATATCTGCACTTTCATAAACCAGTGAGAAAAAGTTGTGAGCAGCTAAACTTGGGGTTTTGCCAAATCTCTTTCTCATAGGAAAACTTCTCTACATCAGGTTCATCCGAGTGGGTGGAACGTTTTGCATCGAAAGGAGCAGAGAGAGTTCCTCTCAAAGTCATCTTGCGAAAGTTTACAGCATGTCGTCACGCTGGGACCGGTCAAAATCAAAAGACGACCCCCCTTGACCCAGCTTCAAAAAGATCCCTGTCCATCTAAGACAAACACCTTAACACCGCGGCGGCAACAAGGCCCAGGAATGTGCCCCTGGGTTTCTGATGATTTAAGGGGGGGGGGCTGAAATAGGTGGACAAAGCAGAGCCATGTGCATTTTTACGTGGTGCCTTCTTTTTTTGTTTGTTTTGTGGCGAGGCAAAGGCGTGACGTCAATGAAGGGTCCTCGAGTGCAAAACATAAACATGTGTGCTTGTTTGTCTGGTTAACATTAATGAGAGGAAGAACTTCCCAAAACTCCTCAATGGATCTCAGACAGGAACTGCTGAATTCCAGAGAATGGGGCTGAGCTCAGAGCTCAGACGGGAGAGGAAGCTGGCATCCCGAAAGAAAAAAAGTCTACCTTCACTCCATTCATCTTTACTCCAGACGTCTTTTCCCTTATTCAGGTCAGGTGTCCATTATTTACACCGATTTAAGTCCAACCTTCAGAGATCTTCATCATATTTGACTTCATCTATATCCATTTTAACATGTCATTTCTAACAAAAACCAGCTCCTGCACAGTTATCCCAAACAACCTAAAACTCTATCCACTTTTATATACTACATATCAAAAGGCATTTATTTTGTGTGTGATATAGAACTGCTCATCAGTGTCAAGCATTCTGGGTCAAATTTTTACATTTTGCACTAAATAAATTTTTCCTCAGAGAGTCGGGCCTGCAGGCAGAGCAGTTTAACACCCAGAACTTTTTTATTACAGAGCCATGCTGCTGTGATATGTACTGAATCTAGTTAGTTTTGATGAAAAAAAATTGAATATAAACACTAACATGTAAAATACAGTGGTGGGCCGTCAGGGCCTTCAAGGCCTTCTCTGAAGGCCTAAGAAAATATCTGAATCACAGACTGATGTTAATTATATTTTGTCCATGAAAACTTAAATTAAATATCTCGAAATAGTCTGTCAGCTTCCTTTCATAGCTTTCCCCCTGGTTGCGCTGCTTCCAGACATGTATTTTCACATAAAAGCATTTAACCAATCACATTTCAGACATCCTCTGTCGCTAGGCAGGGTCAAAGTCAAAGATGGCTGCCAGGAGGCCTTCACAATCCGTTCTGCAGCCCCCCCCCCACAGAAAATACATGTCAAGTACATTGTTGCTTCAACCAATCAGATTTTAGGTTGGTGATGCCAGGGCCTGCGCGAAGGCCCCGGAAATGCCACCGTACCCACACCCGCTGATTGGATAGTCAGATATCCAATCAGGGCAAAGCTAGCAAACAAACCGAAATATAGTTGTGTTGGTGTAATAGCTATTTTATTATTTCGTGGCGGATTTACTGTCAAGACCATTTTCAAAACGGACTTTTCAAGAAAATTAAGTGAGTAAAATGTTTTTTTCCTAAATAATATTGCGAGTTTATGAGGATATTATTGATGTATTTTTATTTTGTATTTTTTTTTTTTGGGGGGGGGGGGGGGGTAGCTGCAGGAGTAGAAGACTTGTGCAGTCCTGATCTTTATACTGTATTTTAGGCTTGTCCTGATCCGATATTTGGATCGTATCGGCCGGCATGAGAAAATGCCAGATACATTTATTTTTAAAAGTCCGATCCCACCCGAGCATTTGCATTAGCATCTGTAACCCACAGGTCTGTGTAAACTTTAGTTGTTATAAATCCCTGTTCAACATGAGTCTCTCAACTAAGTAAGTAGAAAAAAAAATTCAATTTTAATACAAAAAGCTGGATCGGGACATCCCTACTGTATTTCTACATAATAAGATGATTTCTATAACCATAAAATAGTTATTGAGGGGTGAATTGATTCAGACGGAGCACTACTGAAGGCCTAGGTGTGAAATGCACGGTCCGCCACTGGTAAAATATGTCCACTGAATGAAAGTTCTGGTTGACCAAATACCTGAAGATAGCGTCCAGCATTTATTTTGCCTTTCCAGATGTGAAAGTTACATATATACAGCATTGAGGTTTGAGGTAAGATGTTCAAAAGTATTTGAGATGGCAAAACAGATTTCTTTTTTTTGTTGGTTTGCGTTTCTTTTATTTTTTAGATAGTGTAGTAATATACGTGCCCTTTATCATTTTTGCCTTTTAATAATCAAGATCATTATTAAATAATAATGCTCAACACTGTAGTTGCACGTTATTAATGAGAGAAAACCTCTGGATCCCACTCCAGTTGAGACCTGAAAATACCCTTATGCTCTACAGAAACACAGCAATCATTTCTTATTTCAACCTGAGCTTGTGTATTTGTTCACTCTGACGAAAAACGTCCAAATAAATAAAATCTTTGTGTCAACGAACCAGATGACTTCATGTGACCGATAACGCTGCACGCTTTTTTTCCCCCCCGGAGGTCAGTCACCTCCAGGTCGAATGAGCAGACCACGCGCCGGCGTGCGTTTCCAGCCTGTGCGCTGTGCTCGCTACAGCAAAAAACACATGATTCCCCCTCTGGGGATTAATGTGAGCGTGTTCAACCTTTCCTCCCCCCCGACCCGGCCATTATAAACCTGTAAACCACTTCTGAAGGCTAGTCCACATGTCCAGGAGCAGGAATGTGGCTCTCGGCACCTCTGTAACATCTGGCGTCCATAGAAGTGATGACTTCACATTAAGATGAGCTGGGAAAGCATGTTAAATAGCTGTAAGCAGAATATTGAATCACTTTGTAGCAGGGAATGCTGACATTTAAAGATTAGCAGTTTGCTTCGGTCCATTATCGCTCTATCAAGGGGACCAATAGAGGATAAATTAATAGAGCGTTGTGATCATTTTCTGCAGCCTTTTCAATCGGGGACAGTTGGTTTTGATAGCAACACCTGAAAAGTGTCACTGCTTTTTGAGAAAGAAGTCACAAAACTGCTTTTTGTCCATTCAGTCTGGTCCATCCTGAGGGCTACAAAGTCCTGATGTCATTATGTGAGCTTTATGTTCCAGGCCAGAGAAAGGCAGAGTTACAAAAACGATAAAAGGCAAATACGAGTCACACTTTGGTGTTGCTCCTCTGCAGCAACATGACTTTTAGGGAAGAATTTCAGAGATAAGAGGGTTCCTGCTTTGGATTTTGCTTCCTGGGTAACATGCAT